AAAGTGGAAGGGGGAAGGTGGGGGAGGGGGAAAACTAGGGGGAAGGGGTGGGAGAGGAATGGGCTTGTGTGGAAGGGGAGGGGGAAGAAAGGGGCAGGCACCAAGAGACAGCGTAGAGGAGGGACAAAGTGCAGGGGGCCAAGTGCAGACAATGAGGAAAAGGGCAGGAGGGGAGGTGTCAGTGGGAGGGGGCAAGGTGATGCTGGGAGGAGAGAGGAGAGGGGACGGGCATTGGGGGCTGGAGGGGGAGGTGCTGGGAGAAGGCTTGAAAGAAGGGGTAGGATGCGAAAGGCGAGGATGTAGCAAGTCATGTGTGAGGGCACAGAGGGGCAGGAGGGGAACAGGGGCAGAGGGTGGTGAGGGGGTGGGCATCGGGGAAAAAGAGGGCAAAGGGGGTGGGGGCAGTGAGGGAAGGGGAGGAACCAGGAGGGTGCAGGGCTAAGGGAAGGTGCAGGTGCCAGGGGATTCTGGGGTGTGAAGGGGGAGTCACCAGGAGGGTGCAGGGAAGGTATAGGTGCCAGAGGATTCTGGGGGTGAAGCAAAAGGGCAGCCACCTGCAGGGGAGGGACCAGCACCAGAGGAGAGAGGCAGGGCAGGTGTGTAGAGGGAGGTGTTAGAAGAGGGGTCGCTCACATGATCAGAGTGGGGCTACTGGAGGAGCGGGCACAGGGGGCAGAGAAGGGCTGGTGGAGGGGGGCAGGTCGCAGGAGGGCTGAGGGCAGTGAGAAGGCAGGAGTCAGGACAGCAGAGGAGGGTGAGGGGTTGGGGGAGGCAGCAGGGGAGCTGATGGAGCAAGGGGAGACATGGCAGCAGAGGGAATAGGATAGAGCTTTATAAAATATTTATTAATAACTTAGGTGTCACAGTGGCCCGTCCGAACAAGCCCCATGAACTCAGTTCAGGTGCACAACACAAAATCCATTCTGCTCACGGGAGGAACCTCTTAGGCTACGTCTACACTGGCGGCTTCTTGTGCAAGAACACGTCCACACTGCCACGTGCGAGCTGTGCTTTTGCACAAGAGCATCCATGCCAGTGTGGACGCTCTCCTGCCATTTTAGCCATAAGGGTTTCTTGCACAATAAATCCCTGCCGAGCACCCACACTGCCCTCTTGCACAAGAGAGCTTACACCTGTTAGAAAAGAGCGTAGCTCTTGCACAAGACGCCCTCTTTTCCCACACCGTACGGTGAGTTTCCTTGCGCAAGAGCAGGCGGGAAGTGTGGCTGCTCTGTGCGTTCCTGCACAAGAACGACTGTACTTGCGCAAGAAGCCGCGAGTGTAGACAGAGCCCTAGAGGGAACCCTTCCCCCAGCGTCTCTGCCCCCGAGTTAATGTCACACACGTTGGGTTAATGCAATTGCAGGATAGTTGCATAAGGGAGGTTTGGTGGGGGCCAAACTAATCCCTGTTGGTAAGATTTGTGACAGACCGGGCCGGGTCTGGGAACAGCTGAGGGTGTCTGCTCTGGGCGAATTGCTCAGATTTGGGGCTCCTTATAACCCCAGACTGGAGACCCTCCCAAATAGGCCACAAACCAGTCCCACAGGGCGCTTTGGCCAGGCTGGCAGCAAGTCAGAAGCCTCACAAGCAAAACCCCTCAGACACCCCAGCAATATCTGTGCCCCAGATGGCCCCAGACCTCATACACCGGTGAAGGGTCTTAGAGCCCAATCTCACCCACCCTAAACAAGTTCTGTCCGGTTCCAAGAAACCAGCCACAGATCCCAGGTTAATTTATCCTCTGGATCGTACGCACAAATCACACTGAGCCAATCCTTTAGAATCTAACATCTAGGCTGTGTCTACATTGGCAAGATTTTGTGCAAAAGTAGGTGCTTTTGTGCAAAATCTTGCTGCCTGTCTACACTGGCCAAGAGTATTTGTGCAAGAACACGGCTGTTGTACTGTACAAAATCAGTGCTTCTTGCGCAAATACTCGGACGCTCCCGCTCAGGGATAAGCCCTCTTGCGCAAGTATTCTTGCACAAGAGGCCAGTGTAGACAGCCATGGTAATTTATTGCGCAAGAAAGCCCGATGGTTAAAATGGCCATTGGAGCTTTCTTGCACAAGAGAGCATCTAGACTGGCACGGATGCTTTTGCACAAAAGCACATCTCTTGCGCAAAAGCACATGCCAGTGTAGACGCTCTTTTGCGCAAATACCTTTTAACGGAAAAACTCTTCCGTTAAAAGTATTTGCGCAAAATCTTGCTAGTGTAGACACAGCCCTACCGGTTTATTACTAAGAGAAAGAAAAGCATGAGAGTGAGGTTGCTAAAGTATCATACATTACATGCATCGAATCCCCCAGTTCTCCATGCAGGCTTGCAGCAGAGATGTTACAGCTGCTGGCTTAAAAGTCCTTGGTGCACATCCTATGCCAGGATGGGTCCACAGTTCTACCCGGCTCGTGATTCCCTAACTCTACACACAGACATTGTGAAGAGCAGATACAGAATCAGTAGACAGTAAGCTTTTGTTTGACACCTCACATGACCCCTTTCATACCAACTTTTGGGGCAAACACCCCCGCATGGGCGCAGCATGACCTGTCTGCTTCCCTTAAACTCCGGTAATGTGACAGAAGGATGGTGGGAAAAGTCCTCTGAGAGGGGTGACATGACACCTTTTGCTTCTGGTCATGTGTCCGTACCTCCAGGGGCGTGGCTAATGGGGTTGGGGGTGTGGCTGATGGGGTCGGGGCGTGGCTAATGGGGTACCACCAAAAATGACACAAACCTGCCGCTTGTGCACATGGCTTGGCCAGCTCCCAGCCTGGCTCTCTCCCCCAGGTGCCCGGCACTGGCCGTGGGGGCGAAGCTTGGCCCGTCGGTGGGAAGGCTGCTGGGCTGGGGGCAGGGGCTGTCGCTCTGCCCCCCACTCTGCTCCGCTCTTCTCTTCTCTCCCAACTTGTACCCAGCCCAGCCCCACGGGGTGGGCCAATGGCAGCCCCTTAGCTCTGCCTGGGCCAGGGAGGAAAACGCTCGGGGAAGGCCTGAGGGGGGCGGGGAGCTGGGAAGTCAGGGCGGGGCCAGCGCTGGGAAGCTGGTAGCATCCAT